GGGTTGAGCTGCAGTCAAATAAATCCCGATAGATACATTTCTTACTACAGGAAAATTGGAAAACACAGAAAGATACCAAAATAATAAAGAAATAAAACCACCTTTGATTCAATTTTGATATATTTATTTCCTATTCTTTTTCTTGTATCTGTATAACCAGATATCTTTGATTACAATTTTGATGTGTTTTTTCATTCTTTTTATTATCCCTTCATATACATAAGAATCTTAATGTTTATGAAGTCAGGATTATTTTTGCATATATGGACATATATGTTTCTGCATATGGGTATACATATTTTGCAGAATTAGAATTAGATTAATTAATAATTTTATATCCTTGTTTTTACCTACCATTGTGCCATGGGCATTTCCCCATTTCATCAACACAACTTTTAATAGCAGAATGATATTCCATGGTACAGGCATACCTTGGAAATATTGCTGGTTTAGTTCCAGACCACAGTAATAAAGTGAATAGTGTAATAAAGTGCGTCACATAAATTTTTTGGTTTCTTAGTGCATATAAAAGTTATGTTTACACTATACTGTAGTCTATTATATGTGCAGTAGTAGTATGTCTAAGAAAACAATGTACATGCCTTAATTTAAAAATACTTTATTGCTAATAAATGCTAATTATCAACTGAGCCTATAGCAAGTTGTAAGTTTTGCTGAAGGAGGGTCTTACCTCAGTGTTGACGGCTGCTGCCTGACCAGGGTGGTGATTGCTGAGGACGGCAGTGATGTTTGCCACACGGATTGACTCTTCCTTTCACAAACAATTTCTCTACAGCGTGCAGTGTTGTTTGATAGCATTTTACCCACAGTAGAACTTCTTTCAAAATTGGAGTCGATCACTCTCAACTCTGCTGCTGCTTTATCAACTAAGTTTATGTAATATTCTAAATCTTTTGTTGTCATTTCAATAACCTTCCCGGCATCGTCACCAGTAGATTCTACCTCAAGAATCCACTTTCTTTGTTCATCCATAAGAAGCAACTCTTCAACCATGAAAGTTTTGTCATGAGATTGTAGCAATTCAATCACATCTTCAGGTTCCATTTCTAATTTTAGGTCTCTTGCTATTTCCACCACATCTGCAGTTACTTCCTCCACTGAAGTCTTGAATCCCTCAAAGTCATCCATGAGGGTTGGAATCAGTTTCTTCCAGAGTCCTGTTATTGTTGATATTTTGACCTCTTCTCATGAGTCATAAATGTTCTTAATGGTAAATCCGTTCCAGAAAGTTTTCAATTGGTTTTGCCCAGATCCAGCAGAGGAATCACTATTTGTGGCAGCCATAGCCTTATGAAATGTATTTCTTAAATAATAAGACTTGAAAGTCAAAATGACTCCTCGATCCATGGACTACAGAATGAAGGTTGTATTAGCAGCCACAAAAATAACATTAATTTCATTGTCCAGCTCCATCAGAGCTCTTGGGTGACCAGATGCATTGTCAATGAGCAATAACATTTTGAAAGGAAATTTATTTTTCTGAGCAGTAGGTCTCAACAGTGGGCTTAAAATATGTTGTAAGCAAAAGTGTTGTCATCCAGGCTTTGTTGCTCCATTTATAGAGCATAGGCAGAGTTGATTTAGCTTAATTCTCAAGGGCCCTAGCATTTTCCAGAGTGGTAAACGAGCATTGCATTCAACTTAAAGTGACCAGTTGCATTAGCCCTTAACAGGAGAGTCAACCTGTCTTTTGAAGCCAGGCACTGACTTCTCCTGTCTACCTATGAAATTCCTAGATGGCGTCTTCTTCCAATATAAGGCTGTTTCACCTACATTGAAAATCTATTGTTTAGTGTAGCCTCCTTCATTAATGCTGGATCTTCTGGATAACTTGCTACAACTTCTACATCACGTGCTACTTCACCTGCACTTTTATGTTATGGAGATGTGACGTCTTTCCTTAAAAGTCAGCTGATAGTCTTAGGGAAATTCCCAGTATGGAGCTAGTTGCTTTTCTCTTGTTTACTTTAAGATTCTCTCTTTATCTTTACTTTTTGCCATTTTAATCATAACGTGTCTTGGTGTGGACCTCTTGTTTGGGACTCTCTATGATTTCTGAAAGTGGATATCTGTTTCCTTCCCCAGGTTAGGGAATTTTTCAGCTATTATTTCTTCAAATAATTTTTCTGCCCTTTCTCTCTCTCTTCTCCTTTTGAGACTCCTATAATGAGAATGTTAGTAAGCTTGATGTTGTCCCAGAAGTCACTTAAACTATCCTTATTGAAAAAAAATTTTTCTTTTTCTGTTCAGCTTGGGTGATTTCCGCTGTCCTTTCTTCCAGTTTGCTGATCAGTCCCTCAGTATAGTCTCATTTACTATTGACTCCTTCTAAAAAATTTTCTTCTGTCAGTTCTTTTTCTGAGGTTTTGTCTTGTTCCTTCATTTGGAGCATATCCCTCTGTCTTCTCATTTTGCCCAATTCTCTGTATTTATTTCTATGTATCATGTAGATCACTTACATCTCCCAATCTTGGAGAAGTAGCGTTGTAGAGGTCACGTCTTCTGTGGCCCAGCAATATACTCCCCTCTGGCCACCAGAGCTATATGCTCTAGGGGTGCCCCTATGTGGGCTCTGTGGGCCCTTTGCTGTGGCAGGGGTGACTGCTCTGGATTCAGGGATGGTTCCTGTTCCAGTTGGCTGTGAGGCCGTGCCTTGTGCAGTGGCTGGAGGCCCACTGGTTTTTGGGCAGGCTCCCTGTATGGCTGGCTCTGTGGCCCAGTGGTGCGTGATTGCTACTGGCCTGATGATGGGTAGGGCTGGGAAGTTCACCACCTTGTATGGTCACATTTCATAGTGCCCCAAAACAATTACCATAGTAGCATCAAAGATCACTGATCAGAGATCACCATAACAAATACATATAATAATAATGAAAAAGTTTGAAATATGTGAGAATTACCAAAATGTGACCTGGAGACACAGAGTGAGCAAGTGCTGTTGGGAAAATGGCACTGACAGACTTGTTCGACGTTGGGTGGCCACAAACCTTCAATTTGTAAGAAACACAATATCTGTGAAGTTCAGTAAAGCAAAGTGCAGTAAAATGAGGTCTATCTGAACATGTAAACCACAGTTAAGTTGAGCTTTCCATTATTTTTGGACATTTAGGCTATTTTCATTTTCTAAAGCCTGATTGTTTATGCTACTAGTAAGTATATCTTAGTTCAATTTTCTATTTGTTTAGGTTGGTTTCCTAGCAAGGGCATTATGGTCCTAGAGTGGATGCATTTTTAAAGACTATGTGTGTGTGTGTGTGTGTGTGTGTGTGTGTATATATATCTCAAATGGTTTTCAAAAATAGTAATTTATATTCCCAAGAACCTTGCCACACTCAGGCATTATTATTTCTTTTCATATTTACTAATTTAATAGTCAAAAATGCTCTCATATTGTATGCTAGAATTATTTTAACTACTAGGAGGTTGAATATTTTTTCATATACTATCGATCTTTTCCATTTCTTCTGTGAGTTGTTATTCATGTTCCTTTTCCATTTTTTTAATTGGCATTTTAGTTCTTTTCTTTCTTACTGATTTTAGGCTTTTCTTTTTCGAAATCAGTAATTGTAATGAGTAGTGTTGCACTGTTAGCTGTTTTAGTACTCACTGGTGCATCACAAATAGAGTCCTGGGACTGTTAACTCCCCTAATTCCAAACTAACCATGAAATAGATTTTTCTTTCCTAAAAGTAGCAACTGAATTGGTTTCTGAAAACAAAAAACCCAAATGGACTCTTTTTTGTAAAACTGGAGGTCAGGTGGTGAGTTTGGCATCTAAAGCTAAAACATACAACTTCAGCCTTGTTGCGTATTATGACTGATTTAACTGCATAAAGGAAACTTGCGTACCATTCATTATGTGGCATTTTATCTCACAGTTGCAATTTTTATTTAACGCATTTATTCAGTGTAAAATCCTGCTGGAGGGTTTGAAACAACTCTTTCTTCCCATAAACTGTCATCTACCAGCTTGCAACTTTATTTACTAGAAAGAACACACACTTTTCTGAGGGTAGGGTTGATTATTTTTTCCAGAATCACAGCATAACACCTTGTCAATTATTAACTCAAAAGGTTGTTTCCTCATATTTTGATGTTAGATCATTTCCTGGGGATGAGAGATAGGGAAACAACCTCTAAATTCAAGTGTACAAAATCTCTAGTTTTTAAAACCTGCTTTTATTGGCTGAGCGAGTGAACTTGGCATTGGATTTTATTGCTGTGTAGTAAAGAAATCTCAATCTGAAGAAAAGGAGGAGGAGGAGGAGAGGGAGAAAAAAAAAGCTTTGCTCTGTTAAAATTTTTATGAAAAGCCAAAAAAGTCTCAGCTTATTTTTCTTCTGATGAAATCTTAATTGCTGACAAAAAGTTGCTGATTTCATAATGATAACCCGTATCATATGTAAAGCATACTTTTCTAAAAAAAAGGTCTCTTTTATTACTTTCTTGACCCCACCTAATAATCAACAATCTAAAGAAGTTTAAAAAGCAAGAGTCATTTTAGCATAATATTCAGTACTGTTCCGCCATATATAGAAGCATTAATGCGGTTGTAACACGTTTCCTCAGTGTTAATTACCACAAAACCTGAGCGTTCCTCATTACATTTTCCTTACCATTTATTTTATGTTTTTGATACCTTGGTTATATTTATTATAATATCTGCTAAAAATTCTCTTTTGGAAAATTAAAAAGCTTGGGTTAGGAAGAAATACAGGATCTTGTCTTTCTCATAGCTTCAGCATATATTTTGGCAGTCAACGGCCTAGATTGGATTTGATATCATTCTATCACTTATACATAATATGTATGATATATATTTATAAAATTTCAGTTTAAAAGTTTTTGAGAGGATGATAGATAAGTAAGCCAATGATTACGTAACAGTATGCGAAATGTTACTGATTCATTAAAGGAGAAGGAATTGGAATTTATGAAGTCAAAAGAGACAGAAATGCTCATTTGCTTATTTTCTCTTGTTGTGGCCTCGGGGCTGTTGGTTTTTTTCTGCCTACTTCACTCCTCCATCCAGAAGTACATGAGGGTCTTATTTCCCCTGAACAGCCAGAAAAGAGGTGACCATAGATGTGAAGAAATACGCAGTGGTGATACAGATAGATGTGTCGAGAAGCAGCAGGGCTGTGACCAGATGAGGACAGGGGTTCATGACCACATGAAGAGAAGGAGAGAAGGATAATGGAAGGGGATCTTGTAGGAAGAGAAGAGAGAAAGAAGTAAGAGAATCCAGAGGTAGAAGAAGGGGAAGACTCTAGATGCTCTAACCAGATACTGCACAGAACGAGGCAAAGCCCTTGCAAGGAGAGTTCCCCGGCCCACCACCTCCAGCCCAGCTGTAGCAGCACAAACCTTTACTCTCTCTCCTTCGTTCACCACACTGCTAAATCCCGTTAACCTTATCCTCTTTACACGTCCCAGGTCCATCCTCTCAAAGCCATTCTGACCCCAGTGCGGTTCTGGCCATCGTGTCACTCCTGGATGACCTCCAGCCTCTCTCTCGCTCTCTATTCTCTAGTCACTGTTCTTCCTGCACCAGAGGCCTCTTTCTGAAACACAAGTCAGATCACATCACCCCATATTTAAAATCATTTTGAGTGGGCAAAAGACTTGAACAGAAATTGCTCTGAAGAAGGTGTACAGATGGCAATAATCACATGAAAAGATGCTCACCATTACAGTTATTAGGGAAATACAAATCCAAACCACAGTGAGATACCTCTTTATCTCATGGGGAACACTATTATAAAAAAATAGAAAGTATCAAATATTGGTGCAGATGTGGAGAAATTGGAAACCCTTGTGCATTGCTGGTGAGAATTTAAAATGTTTTAGCCACTGTCAGAAATAGTATGAGGTTCCTCAAAAAATTAAGCATAAAAATTGCCATTTAATCCAGCAGTTCCACTTCTGGGTATATACCCCAAAGAACTAAAAGCAAGGACGCAAACAGATTGTTGTACACTCATGTTCATAGCAGCATTTATTGACAGTAGCCAAAAGGTAAAAACAAGCCAAGTGTCCTTTGACAGATGAAAGGGGAAACAAAATGTGGTATATATCTACATACAATGTGCATTGTACATACAATGAAATATTATTCAACCTTAAAAAAAGAAGGAAATTCTGGCATATACTATAACATGATGAGCCTTGAAGACATTATGCTAAGTGAAGTGTCAGTCACCAAAGGACAAATATTGTGTGATTCCAGTTATATGAGGTTCCTAGAGTAGTCAAACTCATAGAAACAGAAAGCAGAATGGTGCTTGTTTCCAGGGGACAGAAGGTGGGGGAATGGGCAGTTACTGTTTAATGGGTTGAGAGTTTCAGTTTTGGAAGCTGAAAAAGGTTTCAGAGATGGATGGTGCTGAAGGTTGTACCACAGTGTGACTGTGTTTACTGCCACTGAACTGAACTGTGCCACTTAACTTAAAACCGGTTAAAATAATAAATTTTATTTATTGTGTATACTTTATACACAATTATAAGTTGTGTATACTTTATAATAAAAATTATTTTGTGGACTCTCATTAATTTTAGAATGAAATCCCAGTTTATTAGCATGATGCATGCATCTTTTGTGACATGGTCCCCAGCTCATTTCTCTGGCTTGCCATGTGTCACTTGGCCTAGACCCTAACGCTGGGCACTTCGTCCTGTAAGACTTAGTGCACCCTTTATCTCCTTCTCCGGGAAATCTTCGATGACTTACCCCGCACCCCCTAATTCTAACTCCTGCCCTCATCTTGGTTGGGTGAGCCTCCTTTTTTCTATCATAGCACCCTTACACACTTTCATCTATTACAATAAATTCAAAAAATTTAAAATTTGTTTTTATCAGTAAACCCCTGTTAGGTTGTCAGCTACTTGAGGATAGAGACTGTCTTTTATCTCTGTTGCTCCACTGCTTAGAATATGACCTCATACCTTGTAGATACTTCATATATGTTTACTATCTGAAGGAAGGAATGAAGGTGATTGGGGAGGAGGGAGAAATTCTGCAGTTTGAGTTAAACACCTCATCCCATCTATATAAATGGGAATAATAATAGTAACCACCTATTAGGGTTTCTGGAGAATTAATGTCACATTGATATTTGTAAAACACTTAGAACAACCTGACAAGTAGCAAGTACTCAATAAATGCTAGATACTATTATTCATTTTTATTATTGAGTCACCTATGGAACTTTTAAAATAAATTCTCCCATCCCTTTTAAAATAATGATTTTCCAAAGGGAAGGATAGAGTAGAAATTGGCAAGGAAATGTCAGAGACAGACATCAATTCCTCTGGATTCCCAGGCCCCCCTGTGGTTTGTCTTCAGAACTGGGGAGAAGCATGCCTGCTAGATATGAACAGATGGGTGGTGGTATGGGGGGGCTCCCATTCCAAAGCAGCCTTTTCTGATCTGATTGTGGATCAAACCACCCCCTAGCCTGTCAGCCCTGGTGATGTGCAGCCTCTCCCAGAGGTGGCTTCTTCCTCGGGCAGAGTGGGGACTTTCCTTAGGAGGATGACCCTGGAGGCACATTGCCACCTCCCACTTGATGATTGCAGCTTTTCCAGGCAGCCTGAGCCCCCTGTCCAACCCACTCCCTCCCATGGCCCAACGACCTCAGGTACTGCCCAGCAGCAGGAGTTTTCCTTTGTGTCTCCTCTACCCCATCAGGGTAGTTTCTTGAGTCTGATTATGAACAAAGAATATGCCAAGTTTATTTTTCTTATTTCTCAAAAATATGCAACTATCTAAGATATATATCAAAGATACGTATATCAAAGAACATTTAAAAAAATTACACTATGATTTAATCTGGTGGCTTTTTCTCCCCTCCCAGTTAGAGCTCAGGGACAGTGTGAGATGTATGAAAGTATATCTACTGTGTGGGTCAGAGGAGGTTGATTTTTGCCTACAAGAAATAAGAGAAGATCTTGGAAGAAGACCCTGGAAAAAAGGATAGCTTTACCTGAAAACATACAGAGGAGCATTCAGGGAGCTCAAATGTAAGAGCAGGGAGATGGAGATGATCTGGCTTTTCAGCTTTTTTGATAGAATGGGAGCAGGCAACAACTTGGGTACCGAGAGGGTAAACATTTTGTAAGAGTCTGTGTCATTACTGATTTCTCAATGATTGTTTTTCTAAAGCAATTACAATACAAGTCTGAAAACAGAAAGGGCCTGTGTGGTTGATTTTGAGGCTGCAAAGAGGGAGGAAGCTGCAGAAACTTTAGCTCTTTGCATTGCCTGTACTGTGTGTGTGTGTGTGTGTGTGTGTGCGCGCGCGCACACACACACACCCAGTGTCAGCTACAAAGTGAAGAGACAAGCAGACTGAGTCCTAACCCATGACAAAGAGAAAGAAAGTGAATCCAAGTGGCCTCAGGGCTTAACTACAGAAGGACACACTTGTGTGTTTCGGGCGTGAGCACTAATAAGCAGTCAGCTCAAGAGCAGACCACAGCTCTGTAAGAAAGCAAGAATACACCTGTGGGCGTTTATGAAGCCTGGTGCTAAGTGTCCTTCATAGTTTGCCCCATAAGCCATGACTGGAAGGAAGAGTGATCACCTTTTGCCATAATTTTTCATTCAGACTTTTTGTGGTGGCAAAGGCCACAGTTCACTCTGCTGTTCCCCTAGTAGCACCCCCTCGGGTGATGGTATCGTTCTGACATCCCTTGAGAAGCAACCAAAGATCATTGGGAGGAGCAGCAGTGTATGGAAGATGGAGCCGAGAAGAAAATGAAACAAAAGAGAGCAATGGTGTAGAAATTTCAATTTGGATGTGTCCAGGAGCTATTCAGAAGGAGAATATTCAGCCCAGGGAAGGGACCATAGGGCTGGTGCACATCCTACCTACTCCCCTATTTCACTTGACAGCTGTCATCTCCATTCAGCCTCAGACAACTGAGAGAGCAGGGCATTACATGCTTCATTTTATGATCCAGGCCATTGTTCCCCTCGGTTAGTAAGGACATTGACCATAGTTACATCTAATACTGTATCTACTATGATTTAGACTTTGTCTACATGAACCTAGAAGAACTGGGTCATACTGAAATTTAGTAAGTCCTGTAGCCAAAGTTTTAGCACAGTGTGTGTACGTTAAAAAAAAAAATAGGTCCGTGAAATGCAAAATAATAGGAGTTGTCTAATTTTCTTGTATCATACATTTTTGAATAAATCAGAATAATCAATCATATTTGTTATGACTTCAGCTATATATATTCAGTATTTATATGAAAATTTCAGATTCATATTGAAGCATTTTTTTAACATCTTTACTGGAGTATAATTGCTTTACAATGGTGTGTTAGTTTCTGCTTTATAACAAAGTGAATCAGCTATACATATACATATATCCCCATATCTCCTCCCTCTTGAGTCTCCCTCCTTCCCACCCTCCCTATCCCACCCCTCTAGGTGGACACAAAGCACCGAGCTGATCTCCCTGTGCTATGCGGCTGCTTCCCACTTGCTATCGGTTTTACATTTGGTAGTGTATATATGTCCATGCCACTCTCTCACTTCATCCCAGCTTACCTTTCCCCCTCCCTGTGTCCTCAAGTCCATTCTCTACTTCTGCATCTTTATTCTTGTCCTGCCCCTAGGTTCTTCAGAACCTTTTTTTTTTTCTTTTTTAGATTCCATATATATGTGTTAGCATATGGTATTTGTTTTTCTCTTTCTGACTTACTTCAGTCTGTATGACAGACTCTGGGTCCATCCACCTCACTACAGATAACTCAATTTAGTTTCTTTTTATGGCTGAGTAATATTCCATTGTATATATGTGCCACATCTTCTTTATCCATTCATCTGTCAATGGACACTTAGGTTGCTTCCATGTCCTAGCTATTGTAAGTATAGCTGCAATGAACATTGTGGTACATGACTCTTTTTGAATTATTGAAGCATTAATTTTAATACTGTCAATACAAAGTCAAATTTATATACATAATTGAAAGAGTAACTACAGAATCCAGTGTTAAGAAATTTTTTACTTTTGTTGCTCATATGATAAACAAGCTTTTCCTTCCTGTTTCTCCAAATGTTAGTATTGCTTTTAAGTCACTTTTTATAGTACCTATAGACAATTTAATCTCTTAAAAAGCATGAGTTTTGATATATTTATATATTCATGCACAGTCCTGAAATGAGGAGAAATTCTTATATGCAAGATTTTATCCTCATATACATTTAGTGCTGAGTCAGAGATTTCTTATTTTCTATCTTCCTTTCCTAAAATAAAATAGTTTTGCATCCCAGAAGGTCCAAACAATTAAACAAAGAGAAGAGTTAAATTTGTACCTAAGTGTGATTCCAGACCATCTGACATAGAGAAAGGGGACAGTATTTTGCAGTGTCAGATCAGATTTTGAATCTCTAACACTTGTATCTTTACCTTAAATAATGGAAAATATATTCAAAAATATTAAAATTCAGAATTTTCTACAATTTTCAGTTTGGAGAATCTTTTCTAAGCAAGACAAGAAGAAAAAAACATCTAATTAGATAATGTTTTCATTGTTTTAATACTCAGTTGAA